ACGACTCATCACAGACCCAGACTCTCCTTCTTCAGCTCAAATGTCCTCGTAAGGACGCCCATCTTCAAGCAACGTGAAGTGGGGGGGCAGAGAGCCAACCTGCCCTTGGCCACACCAGTTGTGTGGAACGAGAGAGAGAGAAATTCTGAGAGATGGTGAAGGGGTGTCTTTTGGACAGGGAGCCATGAAACCAGACGGGAGATTTGGGGTACTGGATACGTCGTTGGAGGCAGGTCACAGCGTCGTGTGGACGGACCCAGGAGGGGTCTCAAACACCAGATGTTGATTCCGTTGTTCCTCCCAACTGCTGCTATTCCTCTCGTTCCATCAGATGCTGAGGGGCAGTTTCAGAGCAAAGTGCGATCCCCCACCATCAGCAGTGACATGGTGGATGGGCCCCGCAAGCTTAAGGCAGATCGTTTACTTATCTGCCGTCCTCGGCGAGCCTGCATGCATTTCATCCGAGTGGCCTCTCAGCAGTATGCAGCAGTGGGAGGGATGAGATGAGTGACCTTGACGCCTCATTTGTGGTGGTATCACATGCAACAGGACCCCAAACTCCTTGGTTCCATGGCCTGCGGTGAGAAAGCGCAAAAGGATCATTGTGGCTTTTTGACATCTTCAACAACAACCATTCAGCTTTATCCAGTCCAGTTTGAATTAATGGGGCTCAAATTCACCTGAAATTCACCAACATAGTCCACTCGGTATCATCTTTAAGCTGGAATCAACTCATATAATCATCAGCAAAGTACATTCATCAATTCATGTTCCATGCTGCATTAAACAACCCACACTATTAGTTTATGTAACCCAATAAGTGATTGATAAGACTCATTTAACAAGAAGTTTTTAGGTTTATGAAAAAGCCAAACACCTTTCTGTAAAAACAGTAAGTCAAATTATTATGGCCAGATATCTCACCTTGGCAAAGAGTCTGCTTATGACAAGAATCCAAGAAACAAACACACAGTCTCACATCAGGATGTTCTTACTTGTTTACGGATCAGGCGACTTAAAGGCAAAATAAAACATTTAACCAACAGTCATAGTAAAAGAAAAGATGTAAATATATCAATCCAGGAGTTAGAAAACCAAACTGAATAAACTCAAACAACAGTAACTAATTATAACATAAACATTAGATTTGAAAAGACTGTCTCAGCAACTGGGTCAGAACATTTCTGTCTCTTTTGTCCTTTACTGATAAAGATCTGAGACAAACCTTTGTTGGCTCAGAGCCAGAAAACACTTATCTGATTAACCGTTCAGCATAACCCGCTCAACCAGTCTCTAGCTGGACTGACTCTTTCAAAACAAATCAAATAAAGATTTAACACAATTTCAGGGAACCAGGGAGATTCAAACAATGACAACCATTATTTTGGAATGCTCAATCTGTAGTTTTGTATGCAAACCGGCACTACAGCCTTTTACCCGGGTTTTAGGTTGTCACCCCCTGAAATCTGGATATGTAGGTTTGGTAAATTCGCACTCCCAGAAAGTAAAAAGGAAAGATAAACCCAATGTACAATTAACTGCAAATAAAAGAACATAGGATGGAGTCAGAGTACTTTAAACCAAGCTTTTCATATGTCTCATGCACTGCACTGTGCAGAGTTCTATCACCACAGAAAATAACCCAATAAAATAAAACAGGATATGGTGAGAAAACATCAGCCTATTTTGGAGATTGGGCCCCAACCCAAAGAATATATCTCCGATTATCCTACTGGAGAATTTTAACAATATGTCTAATAAAAATAGCTCGCTTCTCCAAAGAAAATGACAAATGTTATAATTACACCATATTTACTTAGTCTGACCAATGAAACAAAACAGGTTGCTGAGCTAAGGTTTGCATTCCATGAAGGAACCTTACCAATTGAAAACAAAGACCATCCCAAGTCAAAACCACATTCTTAAATTAAATCCAGTAGCAGAAAGCATCTGTGGACATAGATTAGGCCTCCCATCTACTCTGCCTCCACAGGAACTCGAATCTGGTAAAACCAGATCTGTGTTAGAATTTGCACAAAGGAAAAGAGTTTATCACTTTAAAAAGGCAACAAGGCTCCTTCTTTACAGTTATACATCATATGAAAAAACCAAGCAGAAACTATTCATGGGGCTTTGTACCTTATTAATACCAAATCATACTTTACAATAAAGGCAACATCTAATTCTGTAACTCATTCATCACAAAAGAGAAATCTAAACCCTACGTGATCTATTAGTGTCAACCACAAACCCTGGAAAATCTAGTTTCTAACAGGAAAATAATAAATTGCAGGGAACTGGTTTAAGTTGCCCCTCTTACTCATCCGTCAACACCACAAAGTCAGTTTGTCACTTCAAAGAGTTTTTCAGCAGTTGCACACCCATGGAGATAACAGCAAACTTTTAGCCACACAAACCATTCTCATGTCATCCTTTATGGGGAAAATAGAAATTTTTAACGCTGACATGAGGTCTCTGCCTAGAAAATTTAACAGGCAGTCTGATGATTGACAGGCTCACGGCTAGGTCGGCTCCTCTATGTTTAGAAACCCCTGCCTCTTTTGGGGACCCTTATTGGGCTCTGTTATCTGGGCCATCTGACTAGGAGGGACAGACACATGACATGTGACCTTGACCTCCACAAGTCCAACAAACGAGTGGCTGTGAGTGGTCTAGTGAGGACCACTGTCTCTGGTTGCTGTTACGTCCACCCCTCTGGGGATTAAACTTCCCTCTAGCTACCCTGCTGGTGATAAACAGCTTTCTTTTTCCACACACACAACTGAACACACCGTTTCAGAATTACCTCTAGATTCATACTTTCTCATACATGCACACAGACAGACAGACAGACAGAAAAACAGATAAACAGACAGAAAGACAGAACCGGTTCAAAACTTCAAAATTGTAGCTACACAATCACACAGGTTTCATACACTCAAAAACTCAGATACGCACACACACTGATGCTCAGAACTGCAGTTGTCTTACACACACGCACACACACACACACACACACACACACAACATTCCTTGAAGTCCTGAGGCACGCATACCTACACGGCAGCTTTCACACACACACAGAAACGCAATGAGTCGGCAGACGCACAGACTGACAAGGAGTGAATTTTAGAACGGTTTGGATTCTTTTAGCCAATTATAACGATGATTACTCTCTGCACCATGAAATTTTATTTAACATCCCAGCGACAGTGTGATTTTTAGCATCTATCATTTCCTACTCGACACCAGCACATGGGCTCTGTGCTGTGTGTATATGGGTTCACAACGGTTTTAGGCCCACTACACATTCACCTGTATTTACCACCCACAGCATTGTGGGCTGCCTATGCCCCGCAGACACAGACGAATTACAACCTCCTTTTCACAAGTCCAGGTCTACAGCCACGGTTCACGTCTCAGTGCTACCTCTACGGTTCACACGTGTAACCCTTAAATGGACACGAAAACGTCTTTTCGTGCGTGAATGCCTAGTCACCACACTCAGCTTAAAAACACACTGCCAACTAGTTATTTAGGAAAAAGGTGCAATTTAATTTAGGTACTTACTTTCCCTCTGCGTGGTGTCCTGAGTCCGGTAAGAGAGAGCCATAGGCGGAAGCTGAGCTAAACAGCTGGTTGGTGACATGGTGAGTGTTAATCACAAATCCTCAAAAACCCTGGAAAATCTACTTCTAACAGGAGCAATCTCCCACCGAAAGGCTCTGCTGTTGCCCGCATTCTCCACCACTATGTTCGGTAATTTAATTTAGCATTTTCCACCAATATGTTGGGTATTTTAATTTATACTATTGTTCTTATATTACCTTAAACTTAAATTACCTTAAAGGAAGTCAGAACACACACACAGAGGGATTAGATTCTTAATTTGGTACATTGTAACAAACCTTTAAACAGACAACAAACTCTGCAAAGTGTGACACTCTGCAAAGGGTGAGAAAGATTCAGACCATACAACACGGAAGCCATTTTCCTCTCACAAAGGAGCCGAAGCTGTGGAGAGGTTTTTATTTGCACATACACACCCAGAAATACCATTAGCGTGAAACCCCTGTCTGACCAGTTTGCTTTTAACTAATGGAATAACACCTTGGTCTTAGAATGCACAGGACAAAGGAAAACTTCAGATACTGGATCAACGAGTCTCTTGGTCTGGCAGAAACCCCCTGGTTTGGCCTCAAATAATGGATTAAAATGCCTAAAGCAAAAAGGAGTTTCTGAAAACACCCAAACGTAAAAACAAGTAAACAAGTAACTTAAGCAGCAAGGGTGAGTGAACTCTGATTGATAAACTAGGTCAGGATTTTTCCTAACAACATTTCACAAAGGAAAAATTTCACAACAATAATGAACAATTAAAAATACCTAACACATTCCACCTCCGCACATGCTTCTCTGCTTCATACTGTTTCGAACGGTCTCGCTTCTCCTCACCAGTTTTAAAGCATTTGCCGGAGGTTTCATCCAGAAATCCCATGCCTGTGGTGTCGCCATCTTCCTGTATGCTTGTGTGTTTCTAGCGTGGTTCCACTCCATCTTTTATAGTGAACTTATAGTTCACGTGACTAGAGGTGACGTACTGCACGTACAAGAGGCAGGTTCACGTGCGCGAAACGAAAACGGCAACTTCCTACAGGGCGCGGCCATGATGGAGGTGAAAGCCGGTGTGTAAATGACAAAGAAGGTTTGGGCGCCACTCGGGCGGTAAGTCGTCAAGTATTTACCGCCCAACGAGAAAATTTAGCGCCATTGGCGCTCGGGCGCTTTAAACGTCCACCCCTGGAGTAGGGAACAAGGAGTGGACAGTAGAGAGGTGGGGACGGGTGCAGGGACGGTGCTAGTTAAGAAGATGCTCTCTGAAGAGCAGGGTCTTTAGGAGTTTCTTGAAAATTGAAAAGGAAGCCGCAGTTCTGGTAGTGCCTTCATTGGAACATTTTTAATTTCCACATTACTCAACAGTTTTCTTTTTACCTGTCCAGAACTTCCACAGCATCATATCTGGGAAAAAGAAGATGTTCTGACTGACCAGCAGCTCTCTGACCAAGAGTCAACCTCCAGTGTGGACCAGGAGGAACCAGAACATCCACTGTTCACAGAGGACCAGCCAGAACTCTATATCCATCAGCATGAAGGGCAGTTCCTTTTGAAGCAAAAACATGTAACCTTCGTTGAGACTGCTCCTTCTAACGAAACAGACTGCCATGATCCAGAACCCAACAGGAACCAACCCTTGAGTCAGAATTCTACAGAAGTAGAGAACCAAGATCAGGTTGGATGCAGGAAAGAAAACTCAGAATCAAACAGCAATGAAGAACTGACACGTAATAGAAGACGTCTGCGAAGCGAAGATCACAGAGACAATGTAGATGTTCAGACACTAAAAAAGCACAAGAGGGCTCACATAGGTGAGAGGCCATTTTATTGTAAGCTCTGTGGAAAATCTTTCAGTCACAAGTGTTTTTTATGTCGTCACATGAGATCTCACACAGGTGAGAAGCCATATCCATGTAACACTTGTGGTAAATGTTTTAGTGACAGTAGTGGCTTGATTTATCACATGAGAACTCACACAGGTGAGAAGCCATATCCATGTAAAACTTGTGGTAAATGTTTTAGTGACAGTAGTGGCTTGACAAAACACATGAGAACTCACACAGGTGAGAAGCCATATCCATGTAAAACTTGTGGTAAATGTTTTTCTTACAGTAGTGGCTTGATTTATCACACGAGAACTCAACATAAGTGAAAAGTATTTTCCAAGTTTGGTCTGTATGAGATTCAGCCAGATATTTTCTTTAACTTCTCATGTAAAAATTCACACTTGCGATTGTATACATTAAAATGTATGTTTTTTTTCTTCTTAAAGTTGAGAAGAATTGAGATTTTGACTACATTTAGTCACATATACCTTAGCCCAGTGTGACACATGTACAGAAATATCTTTAGGATGAGCGTTGATGGAAAAAGTATTAAAAAAAAAAAGGCAAAATTGCTTTTTATGTCTAATTGTGGACTTGGTTTATATTTAAGCTTTAAGTTTAAGGTGTGGTTGACTGACTAAAAAAAATAATTTTTTTTTTGTAATTATAATTGATCATTCTGAGTTTTTCATGCAGGCTGAACATGAAAATAGTTTCCTACACCTTTCTCCTTTATTAGCTTCTGATAGAAAATAGATGAAACTCATGTATTTGAAAAGCCTCACAGATCTATGTCACACTGTGAATTGGCATTTATGGACTCGACGATCTTGATTCACGACAGGGAAGACTTGTTGTTTTTAGGGCTGGGGGTAAACGATTATTTTTAAAACGATTATTCTGACGATTATTTTATCGAATAGTCGACTATTCTAATGACTATTCATACAATTAATCTAATGATTATTTTTCTATTGCACAGTTAATAAAAACCAAAAAATCTCTAATAAATTCCTCCCAAAAATTGATTAATTGTTACTGTAAGAGAATAAACACTACAGGCCTCCCATTTTGTATAACACTGCTTTTATTGTGTTGTGGTTGGTTATGTTCTGGTGACATGTAGAACTTGGGAGTGCAGGCTGCTGCCTGAGAGGTGGTTGGAGACGGAGTGTCTCCATGCTGCTTTGTTTTGGTCACTTATGTGCGTGAGGCGAGTGGTGTTACGACTCTTCCTGGGGAGTTTGGCTCGTGTGCAAAAAGGAAGGGACAATAATGTGGGATTTAAAAGTTAAAATGATGATCAGGTTTATTTACAACTACAAAAAACCAAATCTTTCCATCCACAGGTTGGGAGTAATAAAACTAATTCTGCCTGTGGGGAATTAAAACAAAAGTACAGATAACTAGGGATGTCCCGCTGGGCAAAGATTACTGGGTTCTGGACCAAAATAAGAATCTCCAAAGTTCCAAACTTTAAACTGGGTGGTTAAACCAAACTCAAGGTGATATTTTAAACTAAACCGAAAACCCACAACACTCTAAATGTAATAAAAGGGAGATTTTATTACATTTAGACATTTATTAATTTGTACCACAAATTATTATTTTTTATATGTGTTCAACATGTTTAAATATTGCTTGTTTAATTAACCAACATTTCTAGTGTACAGCGCCTTGCTTGGTTGTAATGCCTTGTGAATGCGCTTTATAAATAAAATTGGATTGGATTGGATTGAAAAAAGATGAAGTCTAAACCAAAACGTAACAGTTTATCCAAACGCAAGAAGCTGTTAGCGAAAATGCTAACAGTAGCTTTACCAACGTTAAGTTCAAGTTGCCAAGTTTAAATAAACCAAAAACACCCAGCAGCAAACAGACCAGCATGGAGGAGAGACTGCTGCCACCAAAACAGCTCTCCTAATGTCTGAAAGAAGCTCCTTTATGAAGGGAGAAACGCTCCCGGTGATTTTCTGCATCTGCTATAGAGACGGAGCAGCGCATTTGACCCCGGAAGTTTTTGTCCGTTGCCGGGAAACGAAGGCGGGCAAAACAGGAAAGGAACCTAGTAGCGGACGGACGTTGTTCCGGGTCTTCGGTATTTGGCGGAGATGTTAGTGAAGGCGGAGAAGAGGGCGAACTAGAGGAAAAACATGCAGATTCCACCTCTATTTACAAACTCCTGGGGATGCAACAAGTGGGCGCGGTGCGTCGACTACCGGATCTGACGTCGACGAATTTTTAGAATCGAGCCGTCGACGTCATCGAGGCTTCGCTACAGCCCTAGTTGTTTTAACGTCCGGTAATCGGCAGTCGACGTCTCGGCTGTCAGCATTAGCAACTACATCTCACAGCAGAAGGTCCCCCAGGCTCGTGTATTTTGAGAGATAAAATATCCATGTTGCAAGTCAGTGGTAGAGTTGCATTGCTGTTATCCAATCTGGGGCGAGATGTCCACATATCAGGAAATAAGACTCCAAAACCTGCCGTCTGAAGCTCATGTGATGTGAGAAAATTTTAGGCCTGAGAAATGGTGCAACAGTATATTTGTTCCCCCTGAGAACCATTTACAAGGTATTCATTCCTACCAGAGACCACCGCACTGAAAAAAATTTGTCACCCACGCATTGAACACGTACGCTAATTCCAAAGCTCTGTTAAAGGCACACTGTGAGATTTTTTTTCTTTTTTTGAATCAAATTCTATGTAGTCTATTAACAAATTAATCTTTTTTCATTGATATTTGTAATCGTTTATTCAGATTTTTCCTCTTAGCTCGTAATTTTACATTTTAATTAGGGCTGGGCGATATGGCAAAAATAGAATATCACCATTTTTCCAATATTTTATCACGATTTCGATTTTATCATGATTTTTTATCCATGAATAGCATAACTTCAATTTGTTGTGTGTCGGGGTGAGTACTCCTCCTTCTCTACAACATCTTTGTGAGACCTTCATTCCAGGAGAGGGCACTCACCAGCTGCGGAGCATTACCAATCAGCGGCAGCTGCAGATCCTCAGAGCTCTATTTAAGAGGAGAGGGAACTACTTCACATCGCTGGATGATTAGCTACTCACGGTAGTATCTTGCCACTCTCAAGTCTTAGGTTATGCTTGGTCTCTGCTCAGACATTTTTGCTGTCGCAGTATTTGGATGTATTTGAATTTTTTCTTGGATTGTGTTTGGACCATTTTGGACTCAAGTTTGTATTCCTCTTCAGGATACTTGGAAACGCTGAACCATTGATGGAATATACCTACCTGGAACTCACAATAACCCGCCTGGACAACAACTCTCACGGTTCGCCTCTCCTCCTGTTCCTCCTATCCTCTGCCGCCATCATCTGGCTCCCTCTCCTGGACCCACCCCGTCACACCATCAGCCCTCCTTACTGACTTCTGGACTCTTTCTGGCTTCATTGAACTAGGATATCTCCAGGACACTTTTAGTTAGGTTTAATAAATCATTGTTTGAACTTTCTGCCGTTATGTGATTCTTCATGTCGTGGGTTAAACACCTTCCCAGGGACATGACACAATTGCGTATTAAAGAAGAGAAAAATTGAATAAACATTTATTCATATTAGGGGTAATCAACACAGTGCTAACACTTATATTTTAAACTCACACCAGAGATGATAAAAGCCCTGAGAGAAACAATTACAAAAATCAGTTTTTCTCGTTTTTCAAGTAACTTAACATAAATTAAAATCGTAAACATATTTAAAGTGCAAACATTAACTTGTTCAAAATACTATGTAGCTCCCAGACCGTCAGATGTGTAGATCGTAAAACGGTCTAAAATCGTCATATCGCCCAGCCCTAATTTTAATATACATAAACTGTGGTTGGCCAATATTTTAATAGTTTAGCATTTTTCTTTAGTCTTTATTTTCAAGGTTTGTTTTTGTTCTGTTTAGTTTTAGTTTCATCAACTTTTTTAGTTTTGGTTTTATTAGTTTTAATCAATTTTTTATAAGTTTTTTTAATATTAGTTACATATCAGTGACAAGACCGGTAGTCTGATACTGATAGTAGAAATTGCTGTGTGTAACAAAACTGTCAAAACCATATTCTTTTTGAACAGGTGAGCTACCATATGTTCCAGGCAGAATAACAAAAAATACAGCATACAGGGTCAGTCTGTGGAGCAGATTCAGTCATTCGGGCATCTGGGAACAGAAATTGATGACCACTTGTCCTTTGCAAATCACAGCAACGTTGTCTGCAAGAAAGCGCTGCAAAGACTCTACCTGCTAAGGAAGCTAAGAGCACTCATTGTGAACAAGGACATCCTAACAATTGTAGACAAATCACTGATTGAATCCATTCTAACTTTCAATATTACAACTTGGTATAACTTTCTTACAGTTAAAAACAAAACACAACTCTCTCGCATTGTTAAATTAGGCAGCAAAATTACAGGCTCACCTCAGATCCCACTTTCTGTTCTTCACGAGCGAGCGGCGCACAGGAAGGCTACCCTGATCAATGCAGACTCAACCCATCCATTGAACCCACATTTTCAGCTACTTCCATCAGGAAGGAGGTTCAGAGTTCCATTGGCCAAGAAATGTGTATAAGAAATCATTTGTTCCCACCGCAATTACAATTTTGAATTCTTACAGTTGTATTTTTTTACGATAAAATTTTAATACCTTTTAACTGTCTTATATATTTGTGTGAATGTGATATGGATTGTATTGTAAGGTGAGCCATGTCAAAGGTGAATTTCTGCCTCAATTCGAGGTGGACAATAAAGTCTTATCTATCTATCCATCCATCCATCCATCCATCCATCCATCCATCCATCCATCCATCCATCCATCCATCCATCCATCCATCCATCCATCCATCCATCCATCCATCCATCCATCCATCCATCCATCCATCCATCCATCCATCCATCCATCCATCCATCCATCCATCCATCCATCCATCCATCCATCCATCCATCCATCCATCCATCCATCCATCCATCCATCCATCCATCCATCCATCCATCCATCCATCCATCCATCCATCCATCCATCCATCCATCCATCCATCCATCCATCCATCCATCCATCCATCCATCCATCCATCCATCCATCCATCCATCCATCCATCCATCCATCCAAAATGAACTGAACAGGATACAAACCAGCTGCAGAATGCATTTTCAAAACAGCAAGTGTATGTAGGTCAACAGAACTTGCAATCTCTGAAGTAATTTAGGAGACAATAAATTAAATGCTGGATCTACAGACAAGACAATGGAACTGACCGACAATAAATACATCACTAAAACCACTATAGACCCTTTTACTGTTTGTAAACAATATGACGTCAGCGAGAATGCGCGCGCAGCTTGGCAACAGAGAATGGCGTTGTTTCAGGCTTTATCAAGCTACGCTGCGGGGTTATCACCGGCAAATCTTGAATGTTATATTATTAAACTCACTTTAACGAATGGCAACAGACTCCCGGATCCCTGTGGCATTACGGAATGGGTGGAAGATGTAAGTGCGTGGCCAGATATCCAGTGGCCCGATATATATACGTTTTTAGAATAGAGGCCCAGTAAGTACACACGTGAGAAGC